CAGCACTGGCCCACCTGCACCCAGAAGCGGGCTCTCAGCCCTAAAGGACAGGCTCCAAGAGCACGGGAACCCCCTTCCCACCACCACCACCCGTCCCATTCCCAACGCCCCGGCGCTTCCCTTTAACCCTTGGGACCTGATTTTGGCACGTGGGGCAATATATATATATATATATATATATATATACACACATACATACATACAAGGCTGCACTGGCGCTTCGCGCCATGCACCTTGGTCCCTCACCTCTAACTTGCAGGCAACATGAGACAGAGAGAGAGAGGTTGATCAATCGAAACAACGAGCACTCTTAGTAAAAGTGTTCGCCATCACCGTTCTCATCTTGTTGTTCCTTCTTCTTTCCTCAAGTGTCCTCTTCCTCTTCCTCGGAGAAAAGAAGGATGGAGGAACAAACATATTGGAAGGCTTCTGGGGGTGCCATTGAAGCTCAGTGTTGGGAGCCCTGGTGTTATGTAGCGTTTTGGGGCCTCTTGGGAGTCTTCTTGCGGCCCTTTTGTATCCCTTTTAGAGCCATGTTGGGGTTCTCTTGGGTCGTCTCGGGGCCCTTTTGGGCCGTCTTGGAGCGTCTTGGAGGCCTTTGGCCGTCGTAGGGCTCCCTGGCGGCGTCTTGGGGCCCTCTTGGGTGCCTCTTTGGGCGCTGTGGGGGCTCTCTTGGGCCCGTCTTGGAGCCCTCTTGGGCTGTCTTGGGACTCTCTTGGGTCGTTTTCGGGCTCTTTGGGGGGCCTTTTGGGCTATCTTGGGGCGACCTTTGGAGCCTCTTGGGCCAGTTCGGGCCGATGTTGGCCCGAAATAGGGAGAACCAGGAAAACCTCTGAAAACCATACAAAAATCAATGACGTTTCCCTCTTGGGGCCTCTTGGGGAGCCTCTTGGGGGCCTTTTGGGGCGTCTCGGGGCCCCCTTGGACGGTCTTGGACGGTCTTGGGCGGTCTTGGGGTCTCTTGGAGCGCCCTTGGGCTGTCTTGGAGCGCTCGTGGACCCCTCTTGGGAGTATGTCGGGCCGTCTGGGGCGCCTCTGAGACCGCCCGAAAATCTCGGGGAAGCCCGAAACTCGTTGGGGGGTGGCTCCGTCCGGGGTCCCCGGCCCTATAAAAGTATAGGAATCGGAATATAACCGAAGGGGAGCGGCCCAGGGAAATGTGCCGCGGCATATGTGCTAAGCTGAGGGGCGGGCGGATGGATGAACAAAACAGGAGCGCATGGCCCCGACGGGGGCTGCTCACTTGGCTGCTGCTGTTGAGATTCACCGACACGGCTACTGTTCTGCATGGTATTACCTACTGCTTTGGGTCCCACCATCTCGCTGATCTCCCTCTCCGGGGGGCCCATCGGGGCCGCGCCGGACAGGCAGACGCCACCTCCGAGGCCAGCAGGGCGTCGGGCTGCGACGGGAGGATGTGGAACGCCATTGAGATGATGGCCTTCGGGGTCTCGCCATTGGCCGCCTACAACAGCGACTGGAACCTGAAGCGAAGGACCGAGCGGCCTGCAGTCGTGTTGGCCGTGATGCCCGCTGTGAAATTGTCCGTCTGGTAAAAACCATTTGCGGCGTCGCGCAGCTCGCTGTGGGGCGCGCCCGCGTCCTCGCCGAACTGTTTGCCCACTGATAGAAGGATCGCCGCCTTGACTATGTGACATCTGTGCGCGTGGTGGCCTGCGCTGCGCGAAGTTCACGCCCTGGCCCTGCTTCAGCGCCTGCTTGAACTCCAGGCAGATCTTGTTGTAGAACACGCCAGCCGCCTTGGCTGCTCCTGCCACTCCTTGCGTCGCGTCTGGCTGTTCGTATCGTATGTAGGGAAACGAATTCTATGCACCGACGCTTTTCCCGACCCTGCGCTGAAATTCGCACAGGAACGCGGATTCTGGTGCATGCGGGATCCTGTTGTATACATTTCTCGCTGTTTCCCTTGGAAAACGGGGGAACAGCATGCGCCACGCCACCCCGAGGTTGTCCTTGACCCTTAAAAAGTCGTGGGATGGAAATACAACCCGCCACTGGTAATGTATATGCTCCAATTTGCGAGAATGTAGACCGTGCCCCCCATGTCGGCCGTGCGCTTGCCAGCGTCGTGGCGAGGCGGGCGTTGGCGACCGTGGGCCCGTTGTGTCGCCGTCGCCTTTCTCGGCCCTCGCGGCGCCCCCTGTGCTGCTGCTCCGACTCCCTGGCGTCGCCTCCGTCGCGGCCGCGCTCGTTGGTGGCCGCTGGGGCGCTGGGCCAAGACAGCGGCGCCGCGGGCGCCGGCGCCTCCGCGCCGGGCGGCGCGGTCGTTCAGGCTCGTGCCCTCGAACTCGCAGGCGGGGCAGGCGCGAGATGTGACGGGCATGCCGTCGCGCGAGGTAATGGGGCCCGCCGTGTCGCGGTGCCCTCGGAACGCATGCCTCGTCGCGCGTTGAGCGGCGTTCGCACGACGTGCACATGCTTGGCTGCCGTGGGCGTAGATGTTAGTGGATGTGGCAACATGACGTGCAATGCGTAGCCCTCGCGCGCGCCGCTGAGATGATCCATGAGATCCCGACGCGCCCGAAACGCTGCATCGTATATGTCGGATCAATTTCTTCCTCATTGTGGAGCCGCCCGCCATTCCCAAATTGCATCTGCGCTCGTCGCGCCGCCCCTGGACCCAGGGGCCCAGGTGGCTCCTGGCGCGCGAAGTCGGGGGGCGGAATGGAGACGGTGAGTTCCGCGGAACAAAGAGGCGGTCGCGTCGCCCGCGGTCGACCCGCGATCGCAGGCCCCTTCCGCGAACGTTCCCCGGCCCAACTTTCCGGGCGCATCGAGGAGATCATCTCGAAGTTGACCCGGGGGCGCGCCTGGGAACCATGGGCGCCCGAAAGCAGAAGAGCCCCCATTCCCTCGGACGGTAGTTCCCCGAATGGAGCTCCGAGGGCCCGGAGCCGCGCGCGGGCCTCCCGGCCCATCTCGGAACCGGGCGAACTCGCCGAGGGCGAAGTTCCAGGAACGGGCCTGTAAGTTTCCAGAGATCGAGAAGTTCACGATTCGACGTCGCAAGGGCGCGACTGCCACTCCAGCCCGCGGCCTCGGCCGCGGCGATGCGACGGAAGCGTGCGAGAGTAGCCGCCGGCCTGAAGTAATCGCTGGACGCGAGCGCGAAGGCCTTGAGACCACTGAGAAGAGCCCTGCATTCGAAGGCCTGAAGAGCAATAAGAACTTCCAAAGTAATTCCAAGTGCCAGACCGAACCCAGATATCTGAAGGAGATCCACGAAATTGCAACACTATCTTACGTCGATCGATTTCGCGTCGCGCGCTATCCCGGGGAGCCGCGCTGGGTCCCAGATGCCAACTTGTTCCCGAATAGGCCCTTCCAAGTCCACGCGGCAGGCCCCGTCTCAAAACCTGCTATAGGCGCGCGCTGTGTTCCCCCAAAAAACATCGCGAACTCATGCTAAGACATGGTTTGCCTGAGCCCATGGGGTTCCAATCGAGCATTCAGAAGGAGGCCTGGCTGCTTCATCTTCTGCGCAAGCTGCCTGCGCAAAGTCATGGATATCGTCGGCGTAGCTCTGGCCATTTAAATCGACCTTGCGACCTTCCCAGCAGCCAGCCACCAGCTCCGTGCAACGCGAGTCTGATTGCTGCGCGTCGTCCTCAAGTCCGCCACAGGTTGCTTGAAGGTCGTCTTTAAACCCCGCGCGATGCGGATCGCCCGTGGGCCCTCCACGATGAGTTTTTCGAGCGCGACCCTCCCCAGAGGGCGGGGCAGCGACTGCCTCTCGATAGCGAAGACGGCACTCGCTGCGATCATCTGGCGCGACGTACTCCTGAACGGCGGTGTCATCTGAGGCCACTTGCGGCTGGCGAAAATATTGCTCATGTCCATAAAACGCAAACAATGGGTCCTTCGAGCACGTCGAAGGCGATTCGATAGAACGCTGGATACCCTGAGCCTGTTTCCTTCTCGAGTTTGGGAACATGGCCATGCGCCGCAACTCCAGGGGCGCACGACAAATGGTGCGACGCCACGATTGGGGGCAGAGCGGATGCTTGTGTAGATCAGCGGCTTGCATCGAAAAGGCAGCGAATCCAATACCTTATTCGCTCACGGGACGAGCATTGAAACTGTTATGAAGTAGGCCCCTCTGGTCCTCCGAATTGTAGGTTGCGGCGGGAAGTAGGTGCTGAACATTATGATTTCCATGGCCCCTCTTTTACATCGTACTGCGAAATTCCTTCCCAGTGCACGTGGAGAACTGCGCCAAATTCTAAAGATGTGCTGCTCACGAACGTGATGAAGTACAATGATGGCATCCGCAATACATGTTCGAGTACGGCGCTTGCTCATATGGAGTCTCGATGACCAGCCTGCCCAAGATGGTGCGCTTGAGCGTCTGCGCGCTCGAGTAGCGTTCCCCATTTTTGGTGTCAGCCAGGGCGACCGTGTCGAAATTGTTCATCTCCAAAATGATCTCCTCCAATCCGAAAAAAAAACCCTGTCGAAAAATGGTTGCAACCCATCGGCCGCAACATGGAAGAAGCGCCCGCCGCTGGTCGGCTGGTGGGGGAAATCACCGCTCTGGGTTAATGGTGAGATGTCAGTGTCGCCCAAAACAGCTAGCTTGCCTCGGGGGCTACAACCGACCCACCGAGGCTCAACTCTAGGAGGGGAGGGGGAGGAGGCGGAAGAGGAGGAGGAGGAGGAAGAGAAGGAGGAGAAGGAGGACGAGGAGGAGGAGAAGGTCGAGCGTTCCCAGAGGGGTCCATTCAACAACCGACTCGCCGAGGCTCAACGCTAGGAGGGGGGAGGAAGAGGAGGCCGAGGAGGAAGAGAAGGAGGAATTGGAGGAGGAGGAAGAGGAACGGAATGGAAATTGGGCAAGTCCGCCTGCCGCCGCAACGGCAAAGAGAAATGCTAGCCACCATCCAATGGCCAAGGCACCTCGGCCCCGGCCTCGCGCTTAGCCCGCCTACACTCCCGAAGCCATTCGGCCCCCAGGAGGAGGAAGGGGGGGAGGAGGCGGCCTCGACGTGAAGCTCCACTTCGTCGGCGCCCACCGGCGCCTCCAGCACCAGGTGGACACGGGCACCGCTGGCGGCCTCTGTTGGCAGCCCCCAACCTCCTCTTCTCCCTATTCCACCTATGCTGGTGATCATAGCCTCTCCCCCCTCTCCTCCCTTTTCTCTTGCTATTTCTCCTCATCCCACTCTTCCACCTCGGCCACCTCCTCCGCCTTCGCCAACTCTGTCTCCGCCTCATCCGCCTACGCCTCATTTCCAGGAGAGTGCGTGATATGATGTACCCACCGCAGGAAAGGCCGTGAGCATTGCAACAACGATCATCTTACATCGATAACCGGTGTGACGACGCACCCACATCTGCATGGATTACGTGAGTGTTCATGTACACGACACCTGATTTCAAACGATGAATGCATCAACGCTGAAACACTACAGCCGTCTCGCCATCGCTCAGACGTCCACGCCCCGTGCATGTTTCGATGTCGTGCTTCTTTTTCTTCGTAAGACGACCGAATATGCTCTTCGATGGCCCTCGCCGAAGGAAACTGCACACGTCCGAACGATGCCAAGGCGTAGGCGGTTAGTCCGATGATCAGCTCCCTCAGAACTTTCCCTGGCTCCCCTCGTGGACGTCGTTCAGCCCTCCAACTTCCTACCTTCCCCCATCTTTCGAGAGCGCGAGAGCCCTCTCCAAACCGCTCTCCTTTTCCATCTCCCCTCTTACATCCCCGATCCACTCGCTCCTTTTCTTCCTTTTCTCCCCCTCCCACCTCTACTCATGCCCCCTCCCCTCCCCTCTCTATTCCTGCTCCCCCTTTCCTGCTTCCCTCCCCACTGTCGCGGCCGCGAGTGGTCAGCGCGTCCGATATCGCCCTAAATGATATCAGATGGCCCAAGATTGCCTCTAAGGTCGGCTGCATAGGGGCCTCCTAGATGGGGTCCGAATAAATGGGGTCGGAGGGTCGAGCCACAACGCCAATGCATCTCCAATGCATTGCCAACGCATCGGCGATGCATCGGCGACGTCGGCGATGCATCATCGCCATCAGCGTAGGGGAACTCTGGTTCCACATCGAGCCGCATCGTCGATGCATCGCCGATGCGGAGCGATCTTTCGACCCCATCTATTCGGACCCCATTTAGGAGGCCTCGGCTACAGCCGAAACGCTCACAAGGAAACGGTTGACTGGAAAAACCTGGCCATCTCCTTGGCCAGGGCAGGACTGGCAAGATCATGTTGTGATCGGCGCAACTATAAGAGTCGCGCGTGGCCTCCAGCATGCGTCCAAGAGGCCCCAGAAAGACCCAAGAACGGCTCTGAGGTAACCCAAGGGCTCAAGGATGCCCATGATAAGTCAATCTGATTGTAACTCATACGCGTACACACATCTCAACACACACAGACACACGCACGCACGCACGCACGCACACACGCGCGCGCACACACACACACTTAAACTCGGCGGCGCAGAGGAACCTCAGGCGCGGCCGGCAAATGGAGGTGTCGATCGCGAACGAACTTAGTCGAACTTGACGTGATGAAAGAGTCCAGCCACGGACATGCATATTGGTGGTGGTTGTGAAAATAGAAGGCACTGTAAACCACACACGCGCACACATGCGCACACACACACGCGCACACACATACGCACAGACACGTAAACACAGACACAGACACACGCAAACACGCACACACAGACACAGACACACACACACACAAACACACACACACACACGCAGACAAACACACACACACACAAACGCACACACACCACACACGCACACACTTCCCAGGCCAAAAGACCATCCGTCGCCCTGATACCTTTATGATGCAAATTGTTGGGATTGTTATCGGAGGTTGGAAGGTGAGTCCGACGTGACACGGAGACCCCCCCTACCGGGAAATCGATTTCGGTTTCGGGTTCGTGTCGTGCGTGCCGTGCGTGCATGCGGGCGAGGCGAAGCTGCGTGGGCGGGCGAAACGAAATCCTCCTGTGGCTGGGCCGCGGCCGGACCAAATGTAACCCCTCTGGCGGCCGGTGCCCCGCGGTGTCCCGCCGGTGTCCCGCTGGTGTCCCGAAATCCTCCTGTGGCTGGGCCGCGGCCGGACCAAATGTAACTCCTCCGGCGGCCAATGCCCCGCGGTGTCCCGCCGGTGTCCCGAAGTGTCCCGTGATGTCCCGTGGTGTCCCGTTGAGTGAGATCGATCGTGAGATCGATACTGAGATCGATGTGGTGCCCCGAAGTGTCCTGTGGTGTCCCGTTGAGTGATATCGATCGTGAAATCGATCGTGAAATCGACAGGTGTTCCGTGGTTTCCCGTGGTGTCCGGTTGAGTGAGATCGATACTGAAATCGATACTGAGATCGATGTGGTGCCCCGAGGTGTCCCGTAGTGTCCCGCTGAGTGAGATCGATAGTGAGATCTACAAGTGTCCCGTTGAGTGAGATCGATAATGAGATCTATCGTGAGATCGATACTGAAATCGATGTGGTGTCCCGAGGTGCCCCGTGGTGTCCTATGGTGTCCCACTGGATGAAATCGATAGTGAAACCGATAGTGCAATCAAGAGGTGTCCCGCGGTATCCCGCGGTGTCCCGTGGTGTCCCGTGGTGTCCCATTGGATGAGATCGATAGTGAGATCGACAAGTGTCCCGTGGTGTCCCGTTGTGTCCCGTTGAGTGAGATCGATTGAATCAAATGTTGGTTCCCCCCCTCTCCCCCCCCACAACATCCTTATCACCCGAATGGTGGTCGTATAGGTAAGATTCCATGTTGCAGCCGCCGAAAATCTACTTGGCGCTGGCGACGTGGAAGAAACCGACGGTGGCCGAGCTGTGCAACAAGAGCGCAAAAAAACGCTCGCGCTGTGCAGCAGAGGTATGTTTTCCCATTAGCAAGCGGGGTCTTCGTTGGCCAGCGCCCCATATGCCAATCGCTGGCCCCCTCCGCGGTTCCATAACTACGATTTACGCTCTCGGCGAGCTGCGCGCGAACGCCCCCCGGACACGGGGTATTTTTGTTTCTCTACCGTTTTTCCCACCGCGAGCTTCTGAATTCGCACGCCTTTTTTTGTTTCTCTCAGAAAAAAAAACGGAATGCGCCGCCGTCCCCCCGCCCCAGCCGCAGGGGGAAGGGGCAATTTGCGCGCGCGCTTCGCGCTCAAAGTGCAGCGGGGGGAACGGGGGGACAGAAAAAATGAAGAGAGATCGCCGCAACAGACGACGACTACGCGCTCGCCGCCATGCCTGTGCATTTTGAGATTGTTGTGAGATTGGGTTCGGAATTTGTTTTCGAAAAAAGAGTCGTCTGTGCCTCCCGTGTCCGCGGAGATCCCTGCGGACCTGCAAAAACAGAAACTCCGAAGTGCCAAAATAATGAGCAGGGCGAAGCAAGGAACGGTAGAAAAAGGGGCGAAGGAGGGGAAGAAAGGAGGCAAAGGAGAAAAGCAAGTGGGACGACCCACAACAAACTGATATGTGACGCGCGCAACGATTGTCACTGCATCTGAGCAACATCTACAGCCTGAAAGGAAAATGACCGACGGAAAGCAAATCTAGAACGGTCAAGTCTGAACCCTCGAAATTGTCCTGCTGGGGATTCAACTGCGATTGGCAAGGAAATGACGATTGCACGTGCAGAAAATTATGGCTTCGCGGCCGTGGGGACATACATCGTACATATTCGAGCGATGAGCTCAACTTGGACTGGGCCACGCCATCTTCCATTGAAGAGGCGGGAGCGCAGAAACGTCGCGAGGCGAATCGCTAGCGGAGACGGCGACGACGACGACTTCCGACGAGGGGGTGCGCCGAACGAAGGGAAAGGAAGGACGGGAAGGGGAGCGGGGTCGACGAGCACGACCGTGACCAAGACGACGACCCGACTGTGAAGCAGAAAACGCGCGGGGCGCCCAAAGGGCGCCCGAGGCTCCAAATTGCGCGACGCGCGCGGCGATGCCAGCAGCGGCGCGGAAGAGACGACGGCGACAGCGGCGACGACGACAAGGACAAAACGGCAAAACAAAGCCAGGAAAGAGGACCGGGAGGAGGAAGGTGAGGATCAACATCGCTCACCTGGTGCACTTGTAACGCTACAGTGCACACGCAGCGCCGCCTACGCGGAGCAATCTTGAGCCAAAGAAGACGCGCGGGCGGAATCGGCGAGCCTAAACTGAGCGCCTGGGAAATGCGCTGTACAACTGTGCAAGCGAAGAACGCTGTAAGATTGTTGCAAGGTCGCTGAAAGATTGGGGCGTTGGTTGGGGCGGGGAACGCGGGGGGAGGAGAAGGGAAGAGAAGAAGGGCGAGACGGGGCGACAGGGAAGAAGAGAGGAGGGGCATAAGCAAAAGGAGGAGAGGGGAAGAGAAGAAGGGCGAGGCGGGGCGAGAGGGGAGAAGAGAGGGGGGGCAGAAAAAAAGGCGTGCCGGCGCGGAACAAAGTCAGCAGGCTGCCGCACGAGCGGGCTGTAAGGCTTCTTCGAAGTGGCCGCGAAGCGGTTCATGGACACTCGCGGTAGTGGCGAAAGAATGCCCTGGAGCACGCCGAAGCGCGTCCGACACACTGGCCAAGTCAAGAGACCTTTTGTCACCCAGAAACATTAATGAAGCAAACTGTTGGGATTGTTATAAGATTCGATGTTGTGGCCGCCGAAAATTTACTTGGTACTGGCGACGTGGAAGAAGCCGACGGTGGCCGAACTGTGTAACAGGAATGCAGACAAAAACGCTCGCGCTGTACAGCAAAATGCGTTTTCACATTGGCATATGGGGGTCTTCGTTGGCCAGCGCCTCATGTGCCAACCGCTGGCCCCATCCGCGGTTGCAAACCTACGATTTACGTTTCCGGCGAGCTGCGCGCGAACGCCCCCTGAACACACACGCGCGCGCACACACGCGCACGCGCGTACGCACACGCACACACGCGCACACACACACACGCACACACACACACGCACACACGCCCCCCCCCAAAAAAAAACACACGCACACAAACACATGGACACACATACACACAAACACACAAACACACAAGCACACACACACATTCACACACCGACGCGCACACACACACACCGA